GATGAAGGAGGACAGGATAAGACAAAGAAGGACGGAGGAGGACAGTAGAGGGAGGAGGACAGAAGAGGAGGACAGAAGAGGATGAAGGAGGACAGAATAAGACAAAGAAGGCTGGAGGAGGACAGTAGAGGGAGGAGGACAGTGGAGGAGGACAGAAGAGGACAGAGGAGAACAGAGAGTAGGAGGAAGACAGTCACCTGTGTGGACTTTATGGTCTGGACTTCCTGTTGTGTCATGTGACTCTACAGCTGTTGATGACATCACATCATTCGTTCATCAGTGGCTGAACTGGAATGAGACGCTCGGGTCCCCCCCCCGTCACTGTTGTCACCTAGCAACAGAGCTGCAGTTTAGCAGCGAGTTGTGATGCTGCTTGTTTTTTTATCAGTGGCCTGATGAGGTTAAAGTTAAAGACAGAAACCTTCTGAGGTTCGAGCTGCAGACGCTTCATTTAAACTAGATTGTAACACGTTAGAACACAGTGACAGAGACTGATGGAGCAGCAGAGGTGGAGACGGACAGAGTGACAGACAAAGACATGAAGGACTTCATGAATGATTCATGCTGCTGATTGAGTTACATGGAGCGTTTCACTGACACTCACGATATCCGATGACTGCAGCGCTCCTGATTACAGCAGTGGAAAAAAGTGACGTCCTACAGTAAAGCAGCCGTCTCACATGATGTCCATTGAACTCTGATAGGATGGAGGGGAGGTCTGTCTCAGAGACAGGTGGATAAGTGTCTCCACCACGTTGCAAGGGGGCACAATCCCCCTTGCAACGTGGTTTTATATGGTAACCATGGGAACCTCCTGTCATCATTCAGTTTGGATATAATTCAGCAAATATTATATTACCATGTAAAACAAATTGCCCCTCAGGGATAATAAATTAAATCAATCAGTCAACGTGGGAAGTCGTGGACACTGTAACATGGACACTAAAGTTACCATTACTGCCAGCATGTTAGGAGTTAGCGCTCTAATGTTCGGGTGACATGATGCTGGGAATACAAAGACAACACGACAGAGAATAAAAAATGAGATGTGTTTGAAATTAAAAATAAATAACTCTATGCAAATATATTTTTTCATCATCTCTGAAAACAATACATGTCACAACTGGAGGAGATCAGATGACCTCTACTGGGGAACACGTGAAACACCAGCTCACCTGAAACAGGAGCTGGTGGAAATGAGAAGTCGTGGCTTTAACAATGAGGAACCTGGGGACAGGTGGAGTCAGGTGACAGGGACAGAGAGGAGAGTCTGAGGACATCTGGTGGACGGATGGACACTTCATGTTCTCATCTTCACAGAACCTCCATGTTCCTAAACCTTTACCACAGACTTGTGAAAATTTGTCTCACAACATCGTCCCCTCAGATATACAATATAAATACGACGTTAGCACAGTCCACCTCGTTCTGTTTGTCAGAACAAGAGAACACACAGAGTTGCTCTTCTTCACGATTATCATGAATCATCTTTATCTCTTGCTCTTCACACGTCAACATTCTGATCCAGCTGCAGTTCTTGTAACATCCAGCAGGTGGATCAGAGTTCAGATCATAAGATTCTTCTGATCACAGACTGTAAATAAAGATGGACAACATGACAGCTCCATAAGTAGATCCAAAGCATCAGGATCGCCCCCTGGTGTCTGACTGTAGTACAGATCATAAACCTCCTCCTCCATGTTACCAGATGGGACATGAACCAAACTAAAAAATCAAAGTAGATGTTAAATAAATGTTTGTTAAAGATGTTTTTTTCATTTCAGCTCGTTCTTATCTCACTGATGTTTGTTCCAGTTTTTCTGATCAGTTTGGTTTGAATTAGTTATTTGATGATGAGACGTAATGATTGACAGCTGACACTGACATATAGAAATGGTTGAAATGTCTGATTGTGTTTGTGATAACTGTCTCTGTCCCAGATGAGGATAGTGTGTAAAGACGTGACTGCAGAGACGCTGTATGACGTCCTCCATGACACCAGCTACCGCAGGAAGTGGGACACCAACATGATTGACACGTACGACATTGGCAGACTTACCGTCAACGCAGACGTGGGATATTACTCCTGTCAGTTGAGACTGTGACGAATCTGGTGTTGGATTTAAGAAATGATTAATTTCCATCATTGTGACGTGTTCTGTTACTTTGTGTGTTTGAAGGGAAATGTCCGACTCCTCTGAAGAACAGAGACTTTGTAACGATGAGATCTTGGCTTCCTCTCGGCAGCGACTACTTGATCATCAACTACTCCGTCAAACACCCGGTGAGGACTTTACATTTACAGTTAGTGTCTCCTCTGTTGTTAGGAGACACTCTTCTGATCTAAAAAGACAAATGTCTGTCATGTTGTAGTCATTTACGACAGGTTTGTCTTGTTGGTTCTGGTCCAAGTTAGACAGGTTCTTGTCGTGAAAAGGTGAAAGTGAAAACTAAATGAACTCTTTAAAGTGAACGTGTCTTCTGTGCAGCAACACCCTCCAAAGAAGGACTATGTCCGAGCCGTGTCTCTGCTGACCGGATACCTGATCCAGTCCAACGGAGCCACCAGCTCCACCCTCTACTACCTGACCCAGATGGATCCCAGAGGTAAGATGATAAAGCTAGAACCTGATGGTTTCTCTGACTACAGGTATGTGCTGTGTAAAAAACCAAGTAGAACGGACAGCCATCTTGTATTTAAGAATATTTGTCCAAACCTGGCCGGCTCGGGTCTCTACACTCTGAAAGGTCACCACAGGGGAAAACCAGTCTTACTGCAGACGTCGGTCGTCTTTATCGTGTCAGAGTCTCTGCGTCCTCCCTCCTCTCATGCTGACCTGAGCCACTTTACACTTTAACAATCATCACAAGTTATCAGGACCTGAACTGAAGTTTTCTTTCTGTTTGTTGATTCACTCCACAGTTTAAGAGACATGTATTTAAACACAAAACACTTCTGGAGTGTGAGGGAAAAATAGTGTTGCAGCCAAATCTAACACAACTGAAGTAGACGTAATAAAACAACATAAAAACACCACAAGCCTCCATTCTGCTCCTGTGATGTCATCAAGTGTCCAGGAGCCCTGACATTCAAATTAGCCTTGAAACAAAGTCGTTTACACCAAGTCTTCTGTGATCCACGTGCGAACGCAGCTCCAGAGGAAGATATCCAGAGTTTTAGGCCTAAAACTGTAAATGACGTTGTTTCCAGGTTAATTTGAATGTCAGGGCTCCTGGACACTTGATGACACATGTTATGTTTTTATGTTGTTTGACTGCATCTGAAGAATTGTTCTCCAGTTACTTCAGATTCTGCTCTAATGCTGTTTACCCCTGAAACTCCAAAACACTTCGCACAAACCCCCATCTTTTCGATATAAGATCGACTTTATTCATCCCACACTTCGACATTACAGCAGCATAAAACTACCCTCAGCATTAGGAGCATAAACTCTGCTGAGGTTAGGCTTAAAAACAAAAAACTATTAAAAGAAGACTAAAACACACGGGGGGGTCGGAGCTGCTGTAACAGACTGCCACTCTTGTAGCGCCATGTTGGATGTTCAGAACACAACATAACAAATACACATCTTTACTATATAATATTTAGGAACAGACACATTTACAACGGGGACTGGTCATAATAACAATAATAATAATTATTATTATAATTAAAATGCCTCCACTTAACTGAAATGTCATTTCCCTGTCATGTAATGTTCCACATTTGTTTCCAAAAACTTTTTACAGAGATGTTGTGTCAATTGTCCTCACAAAGACGTAGAGACCACATCGTCATGGTAACGTCCTGTGCTCTGTGTCCGCAGGTTCATTACCAAAGTGGGTGGTGAACAGAGTCTCTCAGTTTGTGGCTCCGAAGGTAAAATGGTGAACAGTTTGCCGTCCTCTCAGGTCTGGACAGGGGACGTGTTTCTATGTCTCACTTTGTCTTTGTCCTCTCAGGCCATGAGGAAGATCTACAAGGCGTCTCTGAAGTATCCGGAGTGGAAGAGGAAGCACAACCCGAACCAGAAGCCGTGGATGTTTCCGGAGCAGAACACGTTGCCGTGCATCAGCGTGTCGGAGCTGGCGCTGCAGCGAGCCGACTCGTTGGAGAACATCGACGAGAGCAGCGTGAGCGAAGAGAAGACGCAGCACAGCGATGACGAGACTTAACCTGGACATCACAACAAACCATCTGTTGCTTTGTTTCACCAGATACACTTTATTCATCCGGAGTGTGATGGCGTGTTTGTTTCTTCTGTCACGTGATTGTTCATCAGCTCGGACTCCACCTTCATGTCCCGACTGAACTGAACCAGGTTCAGGTTAACTCTCCCTCACAGGTGTTACCCTGGTTACCAGTGAGGTCACCAAACCACATCAACCAATCAGGACAATTCCTAACATTATAAAAAAGGGGCTTTTATTGCAGTGATAAGAAGAACATGTGGTGAAACTAAACTTCACGATGTTATCACATCAACGATATAATTATCTGATCTCTAACGATCTGCGAAATCTAAAGTCAAACCATCTTTTTATCTTTAACTTTGTTCATCGTGGGTTTTTTCGACCAACCACTAAATCTGCTCAGTCTGTTGATTCGATTTTATCCCACGTGTTCGATATGGACATGAGATCAGTTTTTAATCGTTGGGGTTAGTCTTAGTCCTGGTCCTGGTCTTGGTCCTAGTCTTGGTCTTGATCTTAGTCCTGGTCTTGGTCCTAGTCTTGGTCCTGGTCTTGGTCCTAGTCTTGGCCCTGGTCTTAGCCCTGGTCTTGGTCCTAGTCTTAGTCCTAGTCTTGGTCCTGGTCTTGGTCCTAGTCTTGGCCCTGGTCTTAGTCCTGGTCTTGGTCCTAGTCTTGGTCCTAGTCTTAGTCCTAGTCTTGGTCCTAGTCTT